TTTGGGGTGGACTTCCATCAGTATGCTGATGATACTCAGCTGTACATTTCCACCCCAGGCCACCCCAATGATGCCCTTGACGTGATGACCCGATGTCTGGAGGCCGTAAGGGTCTGGATGGGGAGGAACAGACTCAGGCTCAACCCTTCCAAGACCGAGTGGCTGTGGCTACCGGCGCCTCGGCATAGTCAGCTGATTCCATCGCTGACTATAGGGGGTGAAACTTTGGCTCCCTCGGAAAGGGTACGCAATCTGGGTGTCCTCCTGGACCCACGGCTGACACTGGAAGACCAGTTGGCGGCCATGACCAGGGGGGCGTTCTATCAGGTACGCCTGATCCACCAGTTGCGACCTTTTCTGGACCGGGATGCCTTGCGCACAGTCACCCATGCCCTTGTCACCTCCCGCCTGGACTACTGCAATGCTCTCTACATGGGGCTCCCCTTGAGGAGCACTCGGAGGCTCCAGTTAGTCCAGAATGCGGCCGCGCGGGCGGTGTTGGGAGGGACTCGTCGCTCCCATGTAACACCGCTGCTGCGCGAGCTGCACTGGCTGCCGGTGGCTTTCCGGGTGCGCTTCAAGGTGTTGATCATCATCTTTAAAGCGCTCCATGACATCGGACCTGGATATCTTCGAGACCGCCTCCTGCCACAGATTACCTCCCATCGGCCAGTACGCTCCCACAGAGTGGGTCTCCTCAGGGTGCCGTCAGCCAGACAGTGCCGGCTGACGACCCCAAGGGGGAGGGCCTTCTCGGTGGGAGCTCCCACCCTCTGGAATGAACTACCCCCAGAGATCAGGGTGATCCCTGATCTCCCTTCCTTCCGCCGCCCCCTTAAGACATGGCTATTTCAGCTTGCAGGACTGGCCTAGGGGAAATTTTTAGCGGGGTTTTAAAATAATTTTAAATTAACTTGGCCAAATGTTAATATTGTCTTTTAATTATGTTTTTAACTGTAGCATTTTGTATTTTTGTAGTTGTTTTATCTGGCTGTTAGCCGCCCTGAGTCCGCAAGGAGAAGGGCGGGATATAAATATAATAAACATAACATAACAACATAACATTCAATCAAGATTTCCTCTAAAGCAGACATGTCAAACCCACGACATCACATGATGTCGCTCAGCGTATTGGAGCTTTTTCACCGTTGCCGGCAATGGGGTGGGAGTGGTTTCCCGATGATGCATCCGGCCCGCGGGCCAGCAGTTTGACACCCCTGCTCTAAAGTTAGTGAACTTTTTTTGTTCATGCTTTAAACAGAAGCTGATGTCCATTATTGCTATTAGCAATAAGTGGTTTTCTTGGTAGGAAATTAAATTAGATGATTCCTGATTCCATCTCACTTGTGATTTTATATAAATAATACCATTGGCATAGACACTGTTGTTCTGTTATGTTGTTTTTAAGAATACTCACATTCAAGCAGGCATCTCTGAAATGATAAAGATACATTTGGTTATTATTTCCAAAATGCCATAAAGATAAAATAATAGATATCCCCTGTTATCAGGGTAAAGAATCTTTAATTGTAATTAGAATCATGATGATGTTATTTCAAATAAAGAGAAGCTATTTTGTCTTCCTGAGAACTAATCATTAATATCCAAATTTACATAGCAGTGATGCAACACTATAGTGATGGCTTGAGCATGTGGAATCTTGTTTCACATAGTTGATTTTGAAGCAGCATGTTTGAGAATACCTTGTACTACAAGAACAAATAATTCAATACTAGATCAAGTAAAACTAGACTGTTACCCTGGAAACTCTAATAATGACGTAAAATTTAATCATTTAATTAGAGTCCTTGGAGAAGACTCTGAGGCCTAGAAAACTTTAAAGCAATTTAAAAAGAGTCTGACAGAAAACAAGTGGCCAGATGCTATCACTGATGACACAGGCATGAACTTGCAAGAGAGAAATGGTTACTGATAAAGAGTTCTGGTGAAATGATGTCCATCAACTTAAGGAGAGCCAAAAGTCACTGAATGACTGAAGCATAGCAAGAAACGCCTTGTCCTCGGTTTCTATCGCTTCTCAATATCCCAAACTGGAGATTCATAATATAAAATCACATAAGCACTACTAAGCATGGACAAATATGGACAGTTTAAAAGAGTTTAAATGGCTTTAAGCACTAATAAGCTTTTGTTATAATCCACCTAATAGAGTATCCAGTCATAGAAGTGAATGCAGACTTATTTTTCTGCTTTAGTTGGTTTTCCACCGCAATATAATTTGCCTTCTATGGCAAATAATCATTGCAGAAAACAGGGTAGTCAGCTGGTACAGTAACTCGTGGTTTGACTTCTTGTCTTCCATTATGGTCATATTTGGATCAACAGGAATGTTAGCATGATTCTTGATTAATTGCTGTGTATCCATATATTCTTATTGGCCAAAAAATGTTTGAGATCTGAGAAGATAATATTAAGAGTTGAGCAGTCTGGAAGGGAAAGGAAGATGGCTAAAAGGATGATCAACATATTTTTAACAAATGACAGTTGCTAATAGACAAGGTTCTTCTAATCTGCCTCACAAATAGTCTGTACTGTATCTGCATAACCCCTCCTTTCCCCTACTTTATTCCAGTTTATCTACTCTAGTGTAACCACTCTGTTAGAAACGGTGAACTGTAACTCACAAGAATGTATACTTTTTCATAATATTTATTAGTTTGAAATGGTACTACCAGACTCTTTTTGATGTTTACTATTGATTTAATACAAGTTTCTTCTGGAAACTAATAAGGAGAAAACAATAATTATCTTTGCCCCTTTCTACCACTAATACTGTATTCAATCTACAGTCTATCTTGAGACTGTAACAGAATAAGAGTTAGTGTACGGTGATATTATATTGGCCAGGAGACTATAGTGTTAATACAAAGTTTGGCTGATGATTGCTAGTCCGTTCAGTTCAGCTTCAGTGCATCATAGGGGGCGAATTAGCTCCACACTCAGAAGGCCTGACGGCATTCTGTAGTGTCATCTCCGGCTTTTCCCACTACCAATGTCATCTCTCATTTGGATGTTGCATTCAGGCAGATCCAGGACTGATTGAATTCATACTGCTGCTTGAAACAGTTTTTTCCCATGGAAATGGTACCTATTAACCTACTTGCATGTAACATGCTTTCAAACTGCTAGGTTGGCAGAAGCTGAGGCAAGTGATGGGAGCTCACTTATCATGTGGTGCTCGGACTTGAACCACCGGTGTACAGACCTTCTCTAGCATCATTAAGCCACTGAATCACTGTGCCTCAAGAATAAAAAAAATCTTGTAGCTTAAAATATCTAGCCTAATTTGGGGAGTTTCTTCATCTCTAACTTTTTGCAAAACATTGAGGAATAGCTGTCGAGAGTTTGAAAATGTTACACTCTTATGAACCATTTTTATTGGTTCTAACAAACTTAACCCACTATGGTTTTTAGATTTAAGTAAAAGGAAAAATGAATTCTGATAGCATAATGCTAGGGGACAGGCAAAACCATTTTGATTGATGGTGAGGAAAAGCTGGATCAAATCAGTCTAAACAAGCATACAAGGGGAAGGGCCAAAATGATTTAATTATATATTTATTTTAAAATACCAGTTACATGTTCACCTATTTTATTGTTATTATGCCATAAATCTTGAACGGAGACATAGAAATTATACTAATAGATGAAATATTGATTTAAGTTAATATTCTAATATTTGAGCAGGCATTTCAGTTCATTATTATATTATGTGGGGTTGCATTTTGCTTGAAATAGGCCTGATGTACTGTCCAGCCCCTTTAATCCATTCCAGTCCTGCTATTATTATAACAGAGATTATTGTTTCCTCTAATCACTCTGCTAATCTTCCTGGAATAGGACATATCTGTTTATCAGAGGGTTCAGGCCTATTTAAAGTGACAGATTATTTCTTTTTAATTCGAAAACAAAAGTTTGGTCTGGTGTAACAAGGGAATGATTGAATGACAAGCAAATTGGGATAAGCTGTTAATTTAATAATGAAATAAGATGATAACTTTAGAAATTTTATATTTGTAAAATAAAAGCTTGCTAAGGAATTCAGTATAACAGGCAAACTGCCATTTTGGGAAGAATGCAAGTAAATTCATTTCCTTTAAAAGCTTGAAAAATTGAAAGCTATTGTTAAGCATTCATATCTTACTGTTATAACTAGTTGAATTATGAAGTATAATTATCTAGATTCACAAAACCTTTAAATTATTGTTTTATTTATCAAATTTATATGGCTGCTCATCTCATGGAAATTGACTATGGGCAGCGTACAACAATGCAGTAAAACAGTAAATGAATAAGACAGTCATTATTAAAACATTAAATCATGGCTACAATGGCTAGGTTTACACAACATATTAAGCCCAACACAAATAAGTCATACTTTGCTTTAGCAAGCCAACCCTTATGTCATTGATTATGCAATATAAAGAAAATCAACAAAATGATTTAGATTTAATCTCATCTCCATTTCTGAATAACTCACATAATTTGAAATAAGCAGCAGGCTTGTTATTTTATAGATTGGCTGCTCAACTTGAGGGGACACTATTGTGATAAGTTCACAGATGGTTCAAATTAGATCAACAAAATGAGGTTATAAATAACTGTTAATCGGGTAGCATTCATATTAGTAGATTAGCATCAAAGACCAATCTGGGAGTTCCAACTAAAGGATTGTGCTGAGATATTGGAGGACTCTGTGCTACGCATGTGGGAATCTTTTAAATGAACTTAGATATTTTTATCTTATAATTCAGGGAAGGTGCATGAAGGTGAAACAGTGAGAAAATTCTGCGACAAGATTGAATAGAGGCTGCAAGTAAAAAGGAACATGAGGAGAGGAAGTCCAGCTTGCATTTGCAATAGTCACTGAAAAAAAGATAAAAGAAATTAAATTTCTAAGAAGAAGAAATAAAAGTTTGCAAGAAGAAAACTGAGAAGAAAGAAATAGCAAATATTTATTCTCCATCTTTCAAAGCAACATGGGACAACACTTCACTAATGAACAAGGAGAACAGGTTGAGATTGATGTGGCTGAATTGCAGGAATGGTATAAGAAGTTTGTAATGGAATGTCCAAGTGGGACACTCTTCAAGCATGAATTCAAACGATTCTTTGGGGTTCATAATAATCAAGAAGCATCGGATTATGTGGAAAGCATGTTCAAAGCTTTCGATAAGAATGGGGTAAGCATGTTACAACTGATTTTAAAAGTTGAAAGCTCACATTCTCCTGGTTTCTAAATGTGGAATTTCTCTTTTGGCTAGGTGTTAATTGTTAATGCTACGATTAGATAGAACTTACTTAGAAGCAAGTTCCATAGAGCACAACAAAATCTTTTTCTGAAAATGGTGTTATATTTCAGATAAGAAATGTGATAAATATGCCAGGAACTCAGGAGATCCAGAATGCTGTACAGGAGGAGAACTAATTAGTTAAAAGTTGTATTTAATTGTCAGGTTCTTATTATTTGATAGAACATTGATAGAATATTGATAGACTTTATTATCATAATTTGAATAGAATTGTTCAAGATCCTAAGAGATTACTTTTAAAATAAATACTTGATTGGTCAAAATTCTCCCAATACTTCTGATAGTTGTGTCCCATCGCATTCATTATTTCCCAAAATTGGGGAAAATCTGATGAATTGTACTGTAGCATACAATGATATTTCTAGGAGGAAAAAAAGTAGGGATGTTATAACTGGAGAGATTAATGTCATTATTATAATTTATTTTGGTAAAGAAGCAAATGCAGGATTCATGCTGACATTTCTATAAAATGGAAAAATGGTTGTTTTATTTTTTAATGCAGTGACTGTATCAAATGCATGATTACTTCTTATGCCTAATAGAGAAAAGGACATTTAACTCTGGTCAAAACATATTGCTGTCTTAGTGACTTTGGATCAAATAATCTGTTTTGCTCCAAGAAAAGCAAAGTTTAGTTACAAGAAACTGGAACTTTCTCACTAAACATATTATTTAAATACAGTGCAAATGCTAAGGGCATTGTAATCAACACCTGCTCACTCATTTTATAACATTATGGTAATGTCACAATACTTTATATTATTCATGCACCCATTCTAGTTAGAAAAAGTATCAAAATGTAGTGTACTGAATCTGGCATTTGAATGTGGTTCAATCTTTTATGAGAAATGTGTGTTGCAATATTAGGCTACAGCATTAAACACATGCAAAATCATTTTAAAAATCAACCTATTTAGTTTCAGTGCATTACAAATAAGCATTTTCAGCCACATAGGTTCATATGTCCATGTATCAATAAAAAAGTAACAAAATATGCATAGGATCGCATAATCTTAAAATATCAACACCCACAGCATGGACAAGGACTGCTTCTACATGAGGAAAACCAAAGGCACTTGGATTCCAGTCCTCTTAATGATATTCAGACTTATTTTTGCCTTTTCTCTGGAAACATCCATGGTTTTGTAATTTAACTTATAATTAATAAAAAAGGTTAGTAAACTATTACAGGAGGCAAATGGTTAGGAAATAGTTTCTGAGAACCACGGTAATTTTCCCATCTCTATGGGATAACTTTTTTTGACAATGTAATTTTAATGCAAAATATTTAGTGCAAAACTAATTCAGAGCAAGGAAGGGAATAGAAAGAAAAATTGTATATGAAATTAAATACATAATTATATTTGATTTAAAAATTGGAGAAAAAGAAAGAAAAGGCAACATGTGGCCCATTGATTGACTTAAGTATTGACTTTCTGTGAAAGTTTCTCCATTGGGGCAGAAGGAGAAATTAATGAAATAATTGGACTGATTGTTTTCCTCCCAATAAAAAAACTTATTGACTTAAGATTTGTTCCTGACATGGTTAAATGGAAACACATTAAGAGAGAAGAAAATAAAAGTGTTCTCCTATTAATGAAAGTTATTTAGCACATCTCATCACTCTAGCTGGTTACAAAATTGTGCACACTGTCTCTTCAGCCCTGTCCTCTGTAATTACATGGGTTTTTTTTACAGTTAAGTGTACTATGCAAACCCCGAGCACAGTGCACTTACTCTTGTTTTTATATTTGGATTCTCTTTGAAATTCTGGCATTCAAGCAAATAGGACGTTCTAACAGTTAACAGCTAGAACTGAAGAAGCTTCTTGGAAGAGAAGCAAAACATTTTTAAAAGAAAAAAAACCAAGAAAGTCCAGTTGCCTTTTGGAAAAAACACCATTGGGACAACTATGAACTGGATGACTGAGAATCTCCATAGATATCTGATGCATGCTTAGTTAGAGAAACATAGACCCAGTCTGCCTATATATTGCATTCTATTTAGCTATGGTGAGGTTCACACTGCTCTTGAAGTCAAAACCACATGATGGCTTAGTCCAAGAAGTGAATCCTGCTATTCCCATTTATATTACATATAAGGAACAGTTGCTGGAATTGGGTATGTCTAGTTTAACAAAGAGAAGGACGAGGGGGGACATGATAGCAGTGTTCCAATATCTCAGGGGCTGCCACAAAGAAGAGGGAGTCAAGCTATTTTCCAAAGCGCCTGAAGGCAGGACAAGGAGCAATGGGTGGAAACTAATCAAGGAGAGAAGCAATCTAGAACTAAGGAGAAACTTCCTGACAGTGAGAACAATTAACCAGTGGAACAACCTGCCTCCAGAAGCGGTGAATGGCCAACACTGGAAGTTTTTAAGAAGAAACTGGACAGCCATTTGTCCGAAATGGTATAGGGTTTCCTGCCTGAGCAGGGGGTTGGACTAGATTACCTCCAAGGTACCTTCCAACTTTATCATTATTATTATTATTATTATTATTATTATTATTATTATTATTATTATTATTATTGTTGTTGTTGTTGTTGTTGTTGTTGTTGTTGTTGTTGTTGTTGTTATTCCTATTCCTATATAAGGGTATTTAAATTGAGGATGCCTATTTTGTAACATGATGGTCTTGTATAGCTGTTTCAACATTCTACCTTTTAACTGTTTTTATCTGGGGAAAAAGAGTAGGAAAAGCAATAGGAAAATACTGGAAGGATATAAATGGATGAGATCTGTAAATAAACACTATCTAAATGTTATTTTGAAATCTCCATGCGAGAGCAGGAAGAATTGCACAATAAGAACCTGGCCTAAACAACTGTTGAACTTCTCTGTTGGGTTTCCATACTTTGGCAATGAGTTCTTGTGCTCTTGATGTCTCTTGACTAGAGGTAAAGCTAGTATGTCATCTCTAAAAGGTTTTTTGTGACAAGGTTCTGTTTTCCTTCATGGAGAAGGTGCTGAGTCACTCACTCATTCATTCATTCATTCATTTGGTTTGTATGCTGCCTTGAGCTGTACAAAATAACACAGTGGTTCAACAATCCTGGTTCAACACAGTGATTCAACAAAATAACACAGTGGTTCAACAATCCTGGTTCAACACAGTGATTCAACAAAATAACACAGTGGTTCAACAATCCTGGTTCAACACAGTGATTCAACAAAATAACACAGTGATTCAGCGGTGATTGGGCTGAAAAAGACTAGCCCAAATTTACCCAATCAACTTTCATTTCTAAAGCTTGTAAAGAATAGTTTATGTATATAACTACTATACACTCAATTAACTTTGACTTATTTGATATTCCATGTTTAATCAAACTATAGCTTAGGCGATGTGTGAATCCCATCTTTAATAAGAACACAAGTCATTTTTAATGGGCAAATAGCAGGTGCAGAAATGTCTATGGAGATTCTCATTCAACCAGGTCATGGGTGTCCCAAAGATGCTTTTTCCAAAAGCAACTGGGCTTTCTTGAGTTTTCTTTTTCTTTTTTATTCTTTGAAAACATTTCTCTTCTCACCTGAACCTTCAGGTTTTTTTTCTTTGAAAAAAAAGGCCAGTTGCCTTCTAGAAAAAGCACCTTTGGGTTGTCTGCCTGAGCAGGGGGTTGGACTTGATGACCTCCAAGGTCCCTTCCAACCTCCTCCTCCTCCTCCTCCTCCTCATTATTATTATTATTATTATTATTATTATTATTATTATTATTATTATTATTATTATTATTATTATACCTATTATTAACTTCTATGGCATACATAGGTGAGATGTTGTTCACATTGAATTTGGGGAGATATTACCTTTTTTCACTTTGTACAGTGTGAGCTTCAGTTTAGCCACTAATCACATGGTCTGAACTACAATCAGCACCAGGAAGTGTCTTAACAGATGCAATTGAACCTTTCCAGGGTTGTTGGCCTAAAATAAAGTATCTGATTTCGATGTTATCCTTTTTGTGCTGCCCACATATAGAAACATCGCTTGTGTTGTATAAACTATGTATTCATTATGCTGAGATGATTTTTCTGACAAAATTGCACCAGGTGATTGCCAGCTTCATTCTGTTCACCTAGCTCAAACCTGCCTATTATTCTTGCAATTTCTCCTTGGCTTACCTTTGCATTGAAATCACCCATAATATATAAAGATCCTTTTTTGGTATTTGCTTGAGAGCACGTTGAAGCTCACTGTAAAAAAGTTCATCATCTGAGTCTACAGTTGGGGTGTAGATTTGTACTATGGTGATGTTGAATGGCTTGCCTTGAATTTGGATAGACATTGTGCGATCGCTGTGTGCTCTGTGATTCTCAACACATTTAGCCACTTGTTTGCTTACACAGAATGCAACTCCTTTTCATCTGATGATATTGTTTCCAGAAAAAGAAATCAGAAAGTCATCTGATTTGAATTGACCACTGGCTGTTCAATGTAACTCACTGATGCCAAAATAATTGGATACAGTGTGATTATTATGTCATTAGAAATGACAGGTTGTTCATTTTCAGACCTTCCTTCTCTCTTCTTCATGCAAAATAGCTGCTTTCAGCTCATTGGAAGCTTAACTATTTTACTTGAAGTTGTTTTTTTCTTCTCTCCCCATCACCCCTGCAGAAATAAAAAAGAAGTTGTACCACCATTATTCAACTGTTTGTGGTTGATTTTGGGGAATCTGCTCCAGTCTTCAGAGGCCATGAAAAAGAGGCACAGGAGCCATTGGCAGCTCATGACTATAAGTGGTGTATTGTGTGACAAAGCCACAAAACAATAAATCTACTACTGTTGAGATCTAAGATGATCACAATTAAAGTGACCATTTTATGTTACCAGGATAACACCATTGACTTCCTAGAATATGTGGCTGTTTTGAATCTGGTTTTGCGAGGGAAGCTGGAACACAAACTGAGATGGACATTCAAAATATATGATAAAGATGGAAATGGCTGCATAGATAGACCTGAACTCCTAGAAATAATAGAAGTAAGTAGAAATGTGTGGTGGTTTTTTTGCCAAATGTTGTTGTTGTTTTGCCCATCTGGAATATAATGCTTTAGTTTGCATATGCTGACTTCCTACTGTACTTTTTTAAAAATTATATTTTAAAAAGAATCAGAATGAAGCTGTCATATGCATTATAGTTGCTATACTGTGATTAGTATAAGAGGATAGACTTTACAAATCTATTCACACCTTCCCTAACTCATAAGTTCACCTACACTGTTGTTTACTACTTTTAAAATTAAGCCATAACTTATTTAATGAGCTGGACCTCCACTTTGTGAATCCTTAGTATTGGGAAGGGAACCATGTTTACTGTATGTCTAAAACATAAGTCTACTTTGCCTGGCAATTCTACAGTCTGATAAAACAAAAGCCCAAAGTTGTTTTTGGTCAAAGAATAAATCATAATAATGTGAGAAGGAGAAAAAAATCTAAAATTTATTCTTTAAAAAAATGTGTCTACAACAATCCCTCCAAAAAAAGAAGAAAGACGAATAGAGGATTTTTTCCCCTTACATTTTATTTGTTAATTTTAAGCAGAAGGCTAGAAACAAATGAAAGAAAGAGAATGGATATTAACAGTTCTATACTGACTTATGCTCTCAGTTTAAGAGCAAACAAACAGGTTTCAATAAGACAATGGATTATTCTTTCCTATGTAATTTTACTCCCCCTCCAAGAGAGAGAGAGAGAGAGAGAGAGAGAGAGAGAGATAAAAAAGAAATATGAAAGGATAAACTATGTGTATTAATTATTTTTTTCCCAGAACAAACCTGAAATCCTGAGTTAGCTACAGATATTCGCCATTATAGCAATCCTGGGTTATAGACAACATAGCTAATATATGTTTTATCATAATTTTCCAATTGTTTCTTTCATATTTTTGTATTTAACACTAAAAATATTGAAAAGATGAAAAGGTAGAAGACCTGCAGACTGCATTGTGTTTGATAGAACAATAGGAGTAGTCAGTCCCTATAGAAACAGTCTACATCACTCTTGCCTATAAATTTCCTAAAAGATTTCTTTTTTATATTTAACTTTGAAAACACTTGATCAAATGATTCATCAAATTTCTATGCATTATCTGTCTGAGAGATTTACATATTCATTATTGTGTGGCTTCCTGTTAACACTATAGGTTTTTTTTCCAGGCTATTTATAGCATTAAGCAAGCATACAATTCTGAAGAAGAAAGAGCTGTTCCCGGTCTCACTCCAGAAGAAGTTGTGGAAAGAATATTTCATCTCGTAGATGACAATGGAGATGGTAATAACCTGATTTGAAGCCACACTGATGTATTATTTGAAATTATGGTTGGCGATTTGATGCCCTTCTAGAACTTTTGTAATGCTAAAGTTCCCAAAACATCAAGGCTCAGTACAAGTCTAATGAGAATTACATCTCAATATTTCTGGTGGCAACAGATTGCCTGTGCCTGATGCAAATAGTACACAGATTTTAATCCATGTCATTTAAAACATGGACATTTTTTTTACTGACACTTTAACAGTTATTGACTTATCAGGTGACAGTGATGTAGAGCAGAGGTCCCCAACCTTTTGGGCACCAGGAACCGGTTCCGTGGAGAGAGATTTTTCCGCAGACCGGAGGAGGTGTGGTTTTGTGTGCTGCCTGCATCTTGCGGATGGGGCTTTCCTTGTTTGTACGGACCAGTTGTTGGCATGCAGCGGACCGGTAGTGGTCCACAGACCAGGGGTTGGGGACTCCTGATGTAGACAATGAAGAATCCTAGAAATGATTATAGACATTTAAATAATGTTTAGACATGCATTTGGTAAAGTTATCTGATTTCACATCAGCTCTAGGGAGCAAGTGCACACTATATAATTCTACTGATTGGAAACTTCAGGTTTTCTTGTTCTTATTATCATTGTCTTTCTCTAATAGACACCCAGATTCATTATCTCTGCTCTGCAGCACAGATGGAAGATAGAAAAAGACTTGTCAGTTTTCCAGATTGTGACTCATTCACCTTAATTTCTGCACAATATTGTAGAAAGATTCATTTTCAGCACACCTAAATATTGCATTATCTGGTTTGTCCTTTCCAAATTTGCTCTGAAATTTCCTGACTTCTTTAAATATTTATGAGGGGCAAATGACCACTAGCTACCATCCCAGCAAATTATGTTTCTGAAATTTCAAATCAGACTTTTCAAGTAACTCTGCCTTAATTAATTGTTCTTGAATATCACAGCCCTACTTGAGGAAAATATAAATGATTCCATCTGTTCTCAATCAAAGAAGCAACATTTCAATCTGTTAGCACATTTCCTTCTCCTCTTTATAGTCCAATGAAAAAGAAATATAGGAATTGACTAGTGGGATTGGACAGAACGCATCTCCCCCATTTTTAACATTCTATGATTTCTTTCTTGTCATTGATTCTTTAGGACAATTATCTCTGGATGAATTCCTTGAGGGAGCGCAAAGAGATAAGTGGGTGATGAAGATGCTACAAATCAATGTAAGCCCAGGTGGATGGCTTGCCAATCAGGGAAGAAAAAGTGCAATGCTCTAATCATTGTTTGTATTATTTCAAAAGTGTAATGAAAGAAAAAAAAGCATCCCTTGTCCTTCGTTCTATTTTTCCTTGATAGCAGCAGGCTGAGCACTAGGGAAAAAAAACCCCTACTGCTGTTCGTTTAAATATTGTGCCGTGCATCTAGGCCATGCCATGGAACAATGCTATGTCGTGGTAATTTGGGGAAAAAATTAAAAGTCCACCTGAATGTAGGAATGAGGACTATATGGGTGGCTGTAGCTGATTTGAGGCTATTGACAGGGTTGGCAGAAGGTCCAACTCATAACTTAGGATACTAGCAACTACCCCATATTGCTTATTTCTGACCCCAGACTTAGTTATCAGAAAAAGATGATGTGCTTAAAAATAATGTCTGGGCTATCCTATTTCACACTGCAAGGTGGTATCACATGACCAAATGTTTTGTCGAACATGTATCAGGGAAAAGTTAATGTTTTGTAAACTTATAGGAAGAAGCAAATAAACCAATTGCAAGGGTTTGCAAACTATCTGGTTTGCACAATTTATTGAGTTATAAAATGTTAAATATAATGTAGCTTAGCATTTTGAGCAAACTCAACCATTGAGTGTGAATATAGCCTGAAACAGCATCAATAGATACAATTGACATTCTCTTCAGCACACAGATTTTTGTAGATGGTACATGGAATGGATGAAATACTCTGCAGAAAAATGCAAAAATCATTTGGGGTATTGAAATAATTTGATTTCAGTGAACTAAGGTCTCTCTGCAGCAATAGTAAAAACTAGTCTTGAATGAAGGTCAGAAAAGATGACAGCACTTCCAGTAAAATAGCTATGTATTAACCTTGTTTTCTGGAACTGACTTAGAAGAAGACAAGAGTTTTCCTAAGTTTCCTCTGGCTTCTGCTGCTCATAAAAGAACTGTCTCCTGATCTTAGAATTTTATGATCTCAGGTTCAGCCAATAGTGTAGTTATTTTTAAAGTTGTCAAAAATATCAGGTGAGGAGTATATCATACCATTTTTCTTATGCTTAGGAGCTCAAAACGTTTACACTAAGATCTTAATGTTGTGTGCAATGTAAGCTGCAAAAGTTTGCTGAGCCTCATAAGCTGCAATTGACTTATATTTAAGGATCACTTCATCTACCCTTGGCTTCACTTCTGCTTCCCTCAAATTTTATCTTTAATTGTAACTTCTTCACAAAAATTCAACACATCCATAGTCTGTGCCTAGTAACTACTTTGAGTGAAGTTGATGGATTTATACCCAGTGGTGGGATTCAGCCAGTTTGCACCAGTTCAGCAGAACCGGTAGCTAATTTTTTGTTGCCCAGGCCCAGAATGGACTTCCGGAAGCAGCATCCATACAGAGAACCGGTTGTTCACATATTTGAATCCCATCACTGTTTATACCTTATAGACTTAACATAATTCCCATTCTAAATATTGTTACTATAGTAATTAGGTAAAAGAAATTCTGCAAATTTATTTATTTATTTTATTTTATTTACATGGATTTATATGCCGCCCTTCTCCCTATAGGACTCAGGGCGGCTTACAGCATATTAAAACACATAAAACATCGTCCCCCCATAAAAACCTATTAAAAACCAAATATTTTTTTCGCTGTATAATTAATTAAGATTTAAATTAAAATTGTCCCTATTTAAAAATTCTCCCTANGGTGATCTGTGGCAGAAGGCGGTCTCGGAGATATCCAGGCCCGATGCCATGGAGCGCTTTAAAGGTGGTAACTAACACCTTAAAGCGCACCCGGAAAGCCACTGGTAACCAGTGCAGCTCGCGCAGCAGCAGTGTTTCATAATCTGCAGTCAATACCTGTATTAATTGTACGTAAAAGTTAGAATCTAAAAGTGTATGTGACTTAGATTTAGACTTTTGCCCCATGGTAACATCAAAATACACTTTTGATTGTTATACTTTTTTATGTCCCCGCCAAATCCTTGATCTGTACTCTGTTTTCTGAGATATCCCTTGTAGAAATAAAGATGAGAGTTCATTCTATGCATTCATGCTTTTTTAATTGTTCTAATGCCAGAAAAATTTAAATCCATGATTGTAATAGCTACTTGTGTGCCAATGAAAGAGTTCTATGATTATGGTTTCAGATGGATCTCATATAGACAATGCCATGTAATATTTCACAACACATATTGATTTCCCAAAATGAAATAAACCTTTTTTTTATCTCACACACAATCTATGTGTTCCAGTCCTTAACACGCCCAAGCGTCCTGGCAGCTCATACTGGGCAGGGATGGGGAGTGTTAAAAAGGGAGACCAAACCCAAAGTCTTAGTTTCTCTCCCCAATAATCTCTGCTATTTCATTCTTTCTCTTTAGTTTATTAGCCAGCTTCATTTTTGGTGGTACAAGAGGAGTTGTTAGAGCTTTGCATATGATGTTTAGGTCAAAGACGGAAGAAAGTCAGAAAATTTTATTCTGGAATAGTTTTCTTCCAACTCAAGGATGGGTGAGAGTCCTTTAAGTCATCATGGGTATGACCTCTTTTCAGGGATCCAGCCAACTGTATCCTCTTCTAGAATACTGTATATTTGTCAGAAGTCTACAAGGCCAGTTGCTCTCCTCATACAGGCAATTTCCCCCCCTAAATTCCCACAGATTCGCCTCACAGCAAGACGGGTGGCAAACAAATTTAATAAATAATGTTTTCAATTTTCTACAGGCTCATTTCCAACTACTGAATTAAAGTGCTATCCGCCTATCCTTGAGTCACAAAATAGTACTACCATCTATGTCCCCTTTGGCAATTCTTAACTCTGCTTCTATCATCTTTGTTCACAGTCACTGCCAGTTACCTGATTTTCTTCCAAGGCAGCAATGGTGACAACACTTAATAAATTTTATGCATCTTAAAATTGTTATTGGATAATGTCGGGAATATAGAAGAAAATACTATTCTTTTAATACCAGTACAACTAAATGCAGGGTTGTCTTTCTCTCACGAGATAAAATGCAGGCAGCATCATAGGGACAAGGAAAGCAATAAGAATTGCCATAACGTGATTGTGCAGTGATTAAGTGCAAGTGGGGATACAATTTAAAATTTTATGGGATGCTAAGAATTTCCCATCCTTAATGGGTTGAAGGCTTGTTTTTGTATTGCTTCAGTTTAATTTCTTGCTTTTTAGCTGTTTTAACTTTTAATTTAGTTATACTTCTGTATAATTAACACAAGGGTGGTGCAATGGCTCAGCAGTTAAGATGGTGGGCTTCTCAGTTGGAAAGCCTGGGTTTGAGACCCGAGAGCCACACAATGGTGAGCTCCCATTACTCATCCCACTCCTGCCAACCTAGCAGTTTGAAAGCATGCAAATGTCAGTAGGTCAATAGGTACCACTTCAGTGGGAAAGGTTACTGCGTTCCATATCTTCATGCTGGCCACATGATGACGGAAGCATCTCTCAGACAACACAGGCTCCCTCGGCTGAGTATCGGAGATAAGCACCGCCCCATTTGAGTCAGTAACAACTAGATGGGGGGAGACTTTATAATTAGGATATTGTGTGAACATGCTAAAAATCTTAATTTAGTTTTGAACATATTTTCTAAATAAGACAGGTATTAAGAATAGCTTAATCACAATATAAGTGTATAGATGTACATCATAATCATGGATGTATAGATGTACAGCTTCCCTTTGTCCTTCTCCTATGAATTGGTGAAATCTTTCTAATAAAATTGAGTGTGTGTTTTATGAAATTAATGGTCTGATTGTGTTAGAGAAAATCCTGGTGCAGGATTCAAAAAGTGAGTTGGTGATTTAAAATTTCCTAAAGCTTACATGCATATTCCCATGGCCCAATTATACAGTTTGAGAAACCTTTTAATCCAAACCTCTGATGTCTATGTATTTGTGGTGGTGGAGAAGCAGCTTCTTATATACCTGTTTCTGGGATGAGACAACTGATAGCTAAAGGCCCACTTCCTGCTTCCCTTGCTAACCTTTTGATCCCTACAGGATGTCTGGGCTTAGAGAGGTAGCAAAAGAAATGGGGACAAGGGTAAGTTTTTTTATTGTAAAGCTGTCCAGCACCATCACTAAAAAATAGGCACTTATCTTCATCCATGTTAAAGTTACCAATGTTACCAATGTTAATGTCGATTATCAAAACAGGAAATACATGGAAACTGAAAATGATTCTAGCCCATTCTATTGCTTGGATGGAAGAAAGGCAGACATTTTTTAAATTTTATTTTACTATAAAGGCTTGATACACAGCAGTCACTGGAATTCTTCTGTAATGGTTTTATAGATTTTCTACAAGAAATTCTACTTCTCCAAGCATTTGTGTTCCTGGAAATTTATCAAACCTTTGCTTTGCTACTCAAGGGAAACGTAAAAAGAGCCCTGCTGAGGAAAGCAGTATAGCATCACTTGTTTTACTGTGCAACTCACTATTATCATCTCTTAGATCAGACAATGCAACTTTTATATGTGGGAAGGATAGAATCTGTCTAGTAAGTCTCCCCTCTCCGGCCCATGGATTAGCTACAGTAGCTTAAGGCCAGTTTTGACAAATGGTCTAGGTTTCCTCCTCCCATAAGAAGTGATTTGCAGTTTTTTCCTGCCAACTGGTGACACCAATCATTTTGCTAATGCCCCACATTAAATCTTGGATAAACAGTGCCAGTCACTGGCCTCGCTGAAGCCAAATAAAGCTCAGCAGTGCAAACCTGCCAGTAGACATTTGTTTTGCCTATTAATTCTATGAAAGTTCATCACAGTGGCAGGTAGAAAGAGATTTTGAAGAGCCAGTAAAAAAGTAGCATAGTGTCCACAATTCAGTATCAAAGTTTCTTTAATTTCATTGACTACAGTGATTTTGCAGCCATAAAGTTATTAGAACTGGATAACTGAACAGAGAATACTGTACATGATAACTCTATATTCTGATAAAGGTTTAACAAAACTTGAGTATGAAAGATATGTTGGTATCAGAAATGCATATTTTTGTGACATGAATGTAAGTTAAAGGAGTGTAATTATAGAAATGGCCAGTTGGTGGTATGCTAGGCTATCGAAGAAACCACAACAGATGATTAAAAAATGGACAAAGATGTCATGAAAATCCTTGCAAGTTGAATTCTTCACAAACTTTAATTCCTTCCTTCCTTCCCCTGCAAATGTAGTATGGAAAAGCAGCTCAAATAGATTCTCAGTTACATAAATACGTATACAAGATATTTTGATGAATAAGTAATAAGATATACTGTATTAATAAAGCTAAAAGAGCGCAAACTATGAATAAGATCCTTTATCATGATGGCAGATGATAAAGGGATACAAGTGGGAATAGCATTCTGGCTGTAAAGACTGGAGATAAGGAACATATCTTGAAAACTAAACATCTTTGTTGATGTTTTGTGGAGCAATCTAATGAGTAAACAGGCAAAAGGACTGGAATGTAGATGATGAAAGGTAGTGTGTTAGCAATAAATCCTGCAGGTGGTATAAATAATTCCAAGTAAATAAATTGATAGCCAAATGGTTTTCAGCATTTTTTGATTTTAGAGATGTTTTTACCAGTCAAGATTATGGAATAAATTGTTTAACCACCAACAAGTAAATAGCTTGGTGAGCAAATACAAATGAAATTGATATGAATATATTGTATGTCAGTAAGTCATGTTCACTAATTCACTATTTCCTATCTCGGCCACTAATACCCAGGCTGACACTGTTTTACCCTCTCCTCTCTTCAAAAGAGGTGAGGCTGTGACTATGTTATCACAACTACCACCTTACATTTTTGGCCAGTCCCACGAATACCGCTGACTCCCATGCTCAAATTTGTTGCAGTTTCCAGCAGCTATAGTTCTTCTTTATACTAAGCATTTTAGAAAATTGAAAAAATACACAGTATTGATTCCAAAATCTAAATAAAAATTCCAAACTGATTTTATAAAATACAAATTTTAATGAGTCATTTCATTGTACTATAAATATAAAAAAAATAAAATCAGAAATGTAAACTGAAATATATACAGAAAATCAGAGAGAAGTCTACGTAACCAAATCTAATATAAAATAGCTAAAACTCAAGGAAATTATTAATTCCAGTATTGGCTCAATCATTCTCACACCTACCCTGTTGCGATATCAAGTACCTTAGAATATTGCAGTTTCCATAAAATACTGTAACACAGCACTTATTATGAAGCTAAAATATAAAGAAATAAAACTTGCTTTCCTCTTGTTTGATTTTAAAGCAAGCATTAATCCCAAAAAAAATTAACTTATAGATTTAAACCTTAATTTTTTTTCCTCTTCAGGATAATGTGACTTAATCTGCTTATTCTCTCAGTTTTCTCAAGAAACAGCAACACAATTTTATTCATTTTGTTTGGCAATTTTCAGCTCTATTGTTCATGTCAAAGATGACACCTGCAACTCAAACAGACCTTTATTCATGCCACCACTGATTGGTAAAAAAACAACAACACACCTTACAATAAAAATTTGACTGAGCCATTCAGAGTTCTTCATGTAGCGTTTGTAATTCATACTAGAAAGTACTTTCTGGTACTTTCAGATACTTTAGGATTCCTTAGCCTCTTATTATAAATTTAATATTTATTTTATTTATTTTTTATTTATGCTATTTATATCCCACCTTTATTATTTTTTAAAAAAAACTCAAGGTGGCGAACATATGCAACACATCCTTTTCCTATTTTCCACACAACAACCCTCAGAGGTGAGATGGGCTGAGAGAAAATGACTGGCCCCTGAGGTCACCCAGCTGGTTTTCATGGCTAAGGCAGGAGTAGAACTCACAATCTCTAGCTTTCAAGCCTGGGGTCTTAACCATTAGACGAGACCAAAGCTAGAAGAGAAATATATTTTTTTCCTAGTCAAGGGTATATTGGTGTTTTCACACTAATTATTCTTTGTTACAAATGTAGTCACAAATGTTCAGAATTGCTCTTACAAAAGCCAACTATTTTCCTTTTTTTTTTTTAAGAATGATTTTTTTTCATTGTAGTCATTGTAATGCTTAGGCTACAAAATCCCTAATAAATGAATACAATTTAAAGCTTAATCAGTTTAGAAAATATTTTAGCATCTGGGGCTTTTCTCTATGTACCTGAATTTGAGTGTCAATCTGATACCAACTAAACCTAAACTATGCTTCATTTCCTATAAAAAAGTACTTAGAGAAATAATAAGTCTCATTTTAAAAAAAATAATAATACAGAATTGTTTTAGCAAAACAAAATACTGTATGCACATATGAAGAACTCAGATCAAAGGATGGATTATTTTGTGAAAAAAATAGCATATTCTTATATGAGCAACATTTGCTACAGTAAAATATAGCACTTAATCTTTAAACGGCATGTGCTAAATCTATATAAAGCCAAAATATTGTTCTTTGGGTAATATTAAAAAGAACTTCTGAATATGCCAAAAGGCTTATATCAAAGGAGTTGTAATAGACTTACAGACTTGAGATCAATTTGAGTAAATGGGATTTGCACCACTGGTTTTAAAGAACCATTTTTAGATATTCAATCTTGGTCTCACTATTGCTTAGGATGATCAAAAAATAGACATCCTATCCAAAGCTGTATTTTTCAACTTTCCTTAATTTGATTCTCTTCTAGCTTACTTGTATCCTCACCATAAGAAGCAACCACAAGAAGCAGTCAAAATGGCACAAAGCATCTTGTGGATCAGAATATTCTTTTATACTTACTTTCCTCACTGACACTTTAAAGACCAAATAAACTAAGGATCTTCTTTCATTTTTATGTGTTCATCTGAACAGAAGCATTGATAATTGCCTTAATTTTCTAGGCCAATCTGATGTCTTCATCAATCGTTGATAACAGTTATTCAATGTGTTCATAATAGACAGTGCCTCTTTTACATACAACACAAATATTCTAAGTTGTCACAATTTTTAGTGTTCAGTTTTTGTTCTCATAATATTATATTTATTATTTAAAAGAACAATAATTTGCCTATTTATCTTTTGTGGATATTCCAGATGTTTCAGGGTTCTTTCCATCATTCTGGATCATTTCAAAGATATGTTTGAGGTCCAAGCTACGGGTGAGAATGTCAAGTAGAACCTCATCTTTCTGTACTCCAACTATGAATTCTTCAAGAGACAAATCACCTATAGACATAAACAGGAGAATTTGGTTCATGTATGGCCTGCAGAAATGAATGGGAGCTGATTTTATGAACCGTACAAAGCATGGATATTCAATTAGCACTAACTGCATCATCCCTTTATACTTAGGTCTGGGCACCTTTTGACAAAAAAAAAAGTTGTAGGTTTTTCCTAGGCTTTTGAAGAATACAAAATTCTCATTTCTATGAGGACATTAAAAAGTTTGATAGATCAATCAACCAAATTCAATTCCATCAATATTTGCATCTGTAAAGGAATTTGGAGTTGACCTTGGAGGTAGAAAAATACGAACAAACTATTAAATTTATTCAGTCCTGAGAAAAAGGAGAACATAAGAAAGAAACTCAAAGCAAACCTACCTTGATTGTATATGGCATAAGATGGGACAGAGAGAAACTTGGACAGCTTTCAAGATTCTGTTATCCTACCTTACTACAAAACAAGCATTCCTGGAATCCCTGCCATGCCCATTTCTTGATCTAGCCTGCATCAAAGGCTGACATCAGACTTCAAAGTGTGTCCAAGTTTCTCTCTGTGGATAGATGCAAGATTAAAAACTGAAGCAGATGGGTGAATGGATGAGATGGCCATATGAGTTTCATTCCACTTACCATTTTCTTACTTTTGCATAAGAAAATGCAGGCTTCAGCTTGCAAATAACTTCTCTGCTTCTCATCTTAAGTAACTGGAAGACCTGATTTCTGGACCTCAATATTTAGCTGGTTTTAACTCTAACTTTCTTGATGTGCACTTTGGGCATTTCTCATTGATAATTATTCCTTCATTTTTGAGGCTAATTTGAATTGGTGGTGGGTGTAATAAAATAGACTTCAAGGAGGTAAAATTGTTAACAGTTTAACTAGATTATAGCCAAAAAGAAATGGGATAGTATCCAGAGGTGGGATAGTATCCATTGCTAAATTGTCAATTTTAACCTCTTTCCTACACAGATATCATGATATACTGTTGATTGCATCCAACCAGTAATATCTCAGCATAGATAGAGAAGTTTCTTACCATCTCCGTTTATATCAATTTTATTGAACACCATATCTGTGAATTCCTCAGCTGACATGATTTCTTGACATGGATTAATGGTGCGAATTGCCTGAAAAGAAAAATAGATATATAATATCTGAAAAGGTCTACATTCAGTTTCTCTACCGGTGAACAGTTTGAATATGTATGGTTTTTTTTAAAAAAAGAAACTAACAAATTCTCATATAGATGCAGCATTTTCCAATGGAAATTATAAATTAATTTGTGATTTTAAAATGTGAAAATCATATTATATTTTTATATATTTGTTATACAGTTCTTTTTTTTTAACAAAATTTTATTAAGTTTATATAGTTAAGGAAAAATAGGAACAATACAGGTATGGTAAAGGGAGGGGTGGAAGGAAAGGGGAAGGGGAAGTGAATAAGGAATTAGGGTAAAATAGGGATAGGTACAATCACATATTTCAACAAACAAGCTACCATCTGGATCATAATAGTGAGTAAATATAATATTCAACCATTTTTAACAAAGCCTAGACTATAACAATTTTAAAAACAATTAGTAAACAAATAGGTTGATCTATTAAGTAAACACTACTAATATAATCTCAAAAAATCTTAACAATCAAAAGTAACAAATGAAAATCAGTAAATCAAGAAAAATAATCATATCATCAAAATGTTAGTTAGAACTCGATTAAAAATCAGTCATCTCTTCTAAAATATTGAATCCTTCAAGTTCTAACGTATTTGTTATACAATTCTAATCTACTCAGTTTTTTGTCTATATATTCATTCACCCAATCTTCTTTCTCTGTTCTTTTGTGTTAGTCTTGGAGAGGTTGTGTAATCTCTTTAAGCTCTTTGCCCACACCAAATGAGAAATAGGAGATAGTCTGCCTGTTGCCATAGTCATTTGACCACTTGACCTATTGATTTAATGATTTAATGACTTTGAAGTGATTCATTTGTCCCCTGCTCCAGCAGAGAGTGGTTCTCCTCTAACAGACATTGATCTGGTGGTAAATTTATTTCTTTATTTTATGTAGCAAATGTATATAGCTGCCCTTCTCAAATGACATGAGTCTGGGCAATGTATAACCACAGTGACAATTAAAACAGTATAACCATCATCAAAACCCTAAAGTACAAGTAAAAGTAAAAACATAGAAAAGCCAGGAGTGCAGGAGAATACTAATCAACTTACATAATACATTCTACCCAGAGTCACTTTGAAACGAGATGGGCAGCAAATATATTTAATAAATAATAATCACTTTGCAGGATTCCCATGGGTTCCCCAAGATTGCTGGAAAAAGTATGTTTTAAGGGCTTTCTGGAAGGCTAAGCAGTATGGGGCTAACCTCACCTCAGGGAGAATGTTCATTACCTTAGGAAATTCTAGCAGCTACTAATTAGACTCTCTTTTTTTGGAGGGTGGGAATCTCTCAAGTCTTCCTGCTTCATTAGTGATCAGAGAAGATTGTTAGGTTTATCATTACAAGTTTCAAGTACTGTTGATGCTACTAATTTCTCTTGAAGTATCATAGTTATGACAATTATATGTTGTCAATCATCAGTGTTTAATGATGTTGCTAGACTAGCTGGCTTGACCAAGTGATATTATACAGGGTTTAAACCCATCTCTATTATAAATACAATGTCCTCTATGTTGAATATATTACAGTTTTCCCCCTCATTTTCCTGTACATAAGTAATAGAGACATATGGCACATATAGTATAAGTGAAACTGAAATTTTTTAGCATCTTACTATCAAGGGCAATGTCTGGGTATATCAACCATATATAATCAAAAGAGCAATTGACTGAAGAAAAGATTAAAGAAAATAATTTACCTTAATGATGTTTAACAACTCATCTCTGTCAATACAGCCATTCCCATCGACATCATAAAGCTTGAAGTACCACTTCAACTTCTGTTCCACTTTCCCTTTCAGAACTAAGCTTAGAGCTGCCACATACTCCATAAAATCAATGTAGCCATCCTATTGAAGAGCAAAAAGTGACGTCCTTTAGTTTAAGTACGCTAGAGCTATACTTATAACCACAGCTTTTATAAATGTATTTTTGTAACTTAATACTTTATGATTATGATTATTGTTGATGTTGCAATTATCATCTAATGTTGTAGTTATCCTCTTGAGCTTGAAAGCTCTTATTCAGAAATTATGTTTTCCTTTTCTACTGATTATTTTGCTTAAGGTCAAAAGGTTAAGATCCTATTCACATTCTTGTTTTAGAGTGAAAGTTAAAAGATCAAGCCAGTGTATTTTGTGAAGGGTAAAAATTGTGATTATTCCTATAATAGCATAGCCAAAAAAGGAACTTCTCTGCTAAAAAGTGTCCCATGCAATTGTGTAATAAAATAAAAGCAAATAGTACTGCATGGGAAAATGTTCCAACTGAGGATGTTTTAATATTAATTTCAACTGATAAAATTCAGTCATGATGAGCACAGAAAATAAATATGCCCCCTTTTCAATCTTCCTTATTGGTCTTCAACTGTTTGCACATTGTTTTGTAAGAAAGCCGCTGGCTTTCTCCCAGCCATTGTCCTTGCCGCTGGCCTCCTCCCCTATGCTATCCTGCACTGAACGGCTGTCCGGTGGCCCAGCCGGGGAACCTCTCAGCCGTTCGGCGACGTCGCTGACCTCCTCCCGGTCATCCTTGTCATCTCCCTCCCCCCTCCCTTCAATGTCGAGTCCATGGGGCTTGACCAATGGTATAATATTAACTAATTATAATTTGAAGGTCCATTGATGTTCATTAGCTCTATGAGGTCAAACAAGGTTTTCAGGAAAGGGATAGTGCATTGTACCCACTGAGTTTAGGAGAAATTAAGACCACAAACTAAAAAGTCATCATGGGCATTCCCTAAATGGGCCAATACAAAATAATCAACCCCATAAATTAATTTAAGAAAGAACAGATTTGGAAAGAAGAAGCAAAGTCACATTCATCTGTAATGGTGTCCAAAGAAGGTGAAAAAGCTATCACAATCTTGACTTTTCACACACACACGCGCGCACACACACACACAAACACAAACACACACACTCACATATAGACCATGGACAACTCTGTTTGTACAGATGAATTTATCTATACAATATCACAGTCTGTAATTAAGGCAGCTTTACTAAAGAATTCATAAAATTACATCTTGCTGAATTATATAGGACTCATTTTTACATGAATATTTCTATAGGATAGATTTGCCCATTTGCTACTTGTGTCAAAGTAACACTGTGTAGTAGTGAAACCAATCAAAGCTCCATTGTAATTGTAATTTTGATTTCTCTATCCATTATTACTATATTTTGGGATTATATCAGAGCATTGCTTGTATAATAGCATTTAATAAAAGCACCAAGAAAAGCTGTGATTTAGGCTTGAAAGTTTTGTTCAGCACATAAACAAATACTTGAATATAGACACATAGTAAATGAATGATATTACTTAGTTCAGTACTGTAATGAAACATCTGCAAACAAACAACCAAGATCAGAAAGCATCAAGAATTCCACATTCAACTATGAATTATAGATACTATCTTCTATTGAAAAATATATATGCTAGATTGAATATATAACTGCTTAATTGCTTTTGATTATAGTTTTTACAGAACAGTGTATATTTCAGGACCCTTTAATCATTGCATAACTTCCAATGTCTTAAAGAGTTTTTCTATTAAAAGAATTACTAACATTAAATTTTCTTCTATATGGTGTCTATTTTGCCTGATCTTTCACTGTCAAGCATGCGTGCCACATCTTCATTCATATAAAGTTATTCTCATGAATTTAGCATGTCACTAAATTAAGGTGATTTTTATTTTTCATTTGACTCTTCCTAGCAAATATCTCATTGGAATCTATACATTACAGCTAGGAACTCCTTGAATCCTTGAAAGGATTTTGCATGCTTCAATCTATTTTGCTTTGATGCAGATAAGCTGCTCAAGGGCAAAGCTCACCCAACAGAAAAGCCCAGCCTGCTTCTTCAATGTCAACAAACAATTCCACATGTGCATACTTTCCCTCTGAAACAGCTGTTCTCTCAATGTTCCCCATTCTGAATCTGAATCCCTACCGCTGTCAGTCGTCAACAGTCAAGCTTCATAATATGATTTAGTTAAAATTGTAAGATAGCACCATTCTGGACAGCCAGCATTTTTACTGTGGAATGGAAAGCTGATTCAGCATTATCATTTTATATTTGCGCAACTACAACAGATATTGTTACTACTTGCCACATTGAAATTATTTTGATATGAAAAACATTTTTGTAGAGTAAGTATTTAGAGACTGATCTAAGTAAAAAAGTAAATGATAAAAGAGAAAAACTGGAGCAACCTAATGTTGGGTAGAAGGGAATTACAATAAAAATCATTCTGTTCCATTTCTACTTATGAGCCTTTTAATCAGACAATTCTAGGCTTCTGAAGACTAGCTTATTCTTTTAAATTACCATTTAATCCCAAAATAATTAATTTAGCCATTGTAACAAATATTTTTTTAAAAAAGATACCCCATGATTTATTTATATAACACAACAATGTGAAATATGACATAGGAATTGTGTGCAGAATTAATGCCGACATAATGCTATTGTGTTTGAGTGAAACTAGTTAGTAGTTAATTTTCACAGAAACAAATGCTATCACCCAAAGTAGAAAATGAATCAACGAACATAAATTACTTCATTGATCATTGCATTATAGATCTGTATACGTGCCACTTGCTTTTATGTCAGCACAAGCAAAAATCTTGAAGCCCATTAAAAATTAATAAATCATTCTGGTATCACCTTTCATATATTATACTTACCCACAAATATATCATGTAATAAATTTGTTGCTCTTTAAAGAACCACAATACTCCATATGATTATCTTTATCAGATCAACATATATAAATCTTCTGCAACTTAAATGTTTTCTCTCTCCTTGCACACACACACACACACACACACATTTGCAAATACAGAATATTGTATGCAATAACAATAATTTATTAAACTTGTATGCCAACAAACTCTCAACAACTCTGGGAAACTATAACTATTATATTAAATCACTTACCTTATTAAAATCAAATGTATCAAACATTTGTTCAATGTATTCATTTGATGATTGACTCAGATTTTTCAGTCCAAAAAACTGTTTAAACTCATGTAGAGTCAATTGTCCAGAGGGACACTCTGTCATAAATTTCTTGTACCACTGGTGGCACTCTGTGGCACTCAGTTCTTCAACAGATTTGCCATCCATATTCCCCATATTTAAAGCAAAACAGAGATACACGTCTTTTGAGGAACAGTGCGGTATTCCAAAAGTTTTTCCCCTCTTTATTAAATATTCATATAGAACGAATAGCTCAGAGGAAAACTAATGAAGTAGAAAGAAGGACAGAAGCTGTTAAAAATAAACTTCTTTAATGAGGAAGGTGAAGCAGCTCTTTGAGAGTTTTAAAATAGTGACAGCTTCTTCAAAGCAGCTTCTGATGCTTAAGTAGGCACTAAAGACTTAACACTAAATAGCCAATGAGAGAAAAGTCCTGTGATGGGTTACTAGTGTCATAGATCAAAAATAGAACAATGTAAAATGAGAGACTAATTGATTATAAGGCCCAGAAAAAGATTGAAATGACCATAACCATAGCTCTGAAGATAGCTTAATAAAATATAATCCACTTTTGATTATGTCAGCCATGAGAAAACTAGAAAGAGTTTGTGAAAAGAATTATGTTGTCTTTCACAGTTTCTATTACTTTCCTTGTGGAATCATAAAACTTTGAAAAGGCCATTCAGTTGGAAAGCAGGCCCATTCAAATAAGCTTAAGCAATGCTCTCAACTGAATTCTAAAGCTCATTGCGCAATAGACACATTGCACAATAGACACAAGTGCAAGAAACAGTCCACTGGATTTTATTGAATAACTATACAATGAAGATGAAGTAAGTACAACAAACTAAATAGCATGTTATACATAACCATCTCTTCTGCTGAGGTATGCAGATAGCATCACATAGTAATTGTAAGGCTAAGGAAAGAAACTGTTAATGATTTTCCTCATGTACAAAGTATATAATAACAAGCATGCTGTATGTCCCTGCCCTTGTGGTCGCTTTCCTCTTTTGTTATCTTTTACTAAAACCCATAAAGTTCTGTGCAGACATTGGCTGCTCAGGGATATAAGTAAATTGAACCAGGAGATGTGGGTATATGTTTAAGCTCCTTTCTACAGATTTTTTGCATTGCCAAGGATTCTCTAAGCACAGTCAGCTAACTTTTGGGAGCTCTGATGATCCAGAAATTCAGAAGAGGTAGGCTTGCCCATCATAGGACTCTAAATAGAGCAAATATAGAGTTCTTAACAGAATTTCAAATGCTTACTAGACAAGCAGACAAGTGAAGACACAGATACGGTACATCTATATCTTTTTTGTGTGACTTTGAGTCAGTTTTGACTCCTGGAAACTGCCTGGATTAGTGCCTGCAGTTTTCTTGACAAGGTTTTTCACAAGTGGTTTGCCTTGCCTCTTTTCTAGGGCTGAGAGAGTGTAACTGGGCAAGTAACACAACTTGTCTTCATGCCTAAAATGGGACTACAACTCATAGCCTCCTGGTTTCTAGACTGATGCCTTAATCCCTATCACATACTTGCATTCTACATCTGTGCCTACCAAGCCAATTCAGATCTACTTATAGAGAGATCAACTGCAGGTGTTTATGGTTGTTATCATGTCTGCATACTCTGCACTTTGAATGTGAATTAACTGTATAAGCTATTATCAAGATATCATATTGAGTAGGAAATTATATAATAATAATAGTAGTAGTAGTAGTAGTAGTAGTAATAATAATAATAATAATAATAATAAAATAATAATAATAATAATAATAAAATAATAATAATAATAATAATAATAATAATAATAATAATAATAATAATAATAATAATAATAATAATAATAATAATAATAATAATAATAATAATAATAATAATAAAGTTGGAAGGGACCTTGGAGGTCATCAAGTCCAACCCCCTGCTCAGGCAGGTAACCCTATACCATTTGGGACAAATGGCTGTCCAGTTTCTTCTTAAAAACTTCCAGTGTTGGAGCATTCACCATGCTTCTTGGTCTAAAAAGACACCCCAAGAAAATTTCCAATACATATCTGCGAATGAAAATAAAATTAAAATAATCTGTGAAAATATCCTGTTCTATCTTGCACACACGTTCCTCAGCCTTGCATATATTGCTTCACATTTCATTGTTTTCATATATAACTCTCTCTCTCTCTCTCTCTCTCTCTCTCTGTGTCTGTGTGTGTGTGTGTACTCACAGAATAGAGTTGTAATATCTGGAACTATGCTTGGCTGGACAAAGCAAATCTTAAATTGCTTTAGCATTAGTTCTCCCTGTTTCTCTGAGATTAATAAATATATGTAGTAAACAAAACAACAAAGAGAAAAGTATCTGCTCATTTGATCTTCATTTTGGTGCTTTTCTGGCTGGTGGGAGATCTACAGCTGTAGATGTTTCAAAGCCAAAGTAAGGTTGCTCTCTTGTAGGACTTGACTTATTCCATCATTATTGGTTCCAGGAGCTTTTGCTATAAGGCAGAACTCTTTCTTTCAAAGCCCCCACAGCATCTCCTTTTAGACATGCTTGGAGGATGACAAAGTTCAGATTTTGAATCAGAATGCTGTTAGGAAAATCTCAGGAGAAATGCATGACTGTTTCAGACTTTTGAGCCTTCCGAAGCCACACCTGGCTTTTTCCCCACAATAGTTCTCCATTTCGGAATATTTACTCTCTCAATATCCATGACCTTCCTTCGGTGGTCAGTGTCTCGACAATACCGGTAGCCACAGGTTGGTTTTTGTAAAGTGTAAAATGGATTGTATGAATTGGAGTAATTAGGGTTATAGAAGGCAAAGCTAAGATACTCAGGGTTAAGTCCTCCTGAATGTATGACCATAGGAACAT